CTCCATGTGTCGGGGGGCGTGGGCTCGTTCCTTCGATTTGCTTGACATCCCTCGGACTCTCTTCTCTCGTTTGTTGGAGCATCACGGTTGTGAACCAACGTCTCACATCCCTGGAGAGGTATACGGCTCAGACGGGGCAGGGGGGGTGTATTCCAAGCACCCACTACTACGCAGGGGTGCTTCCAGTTTTGCAGGCATGCAATGGACGACGAGGGGGAGCCCTCTTGGCCACATGATGGCACGGGTGTGTGCGCTAGTGTTAGACAACTTTGAAATACTCTGAAGGACCGCGGCCCCCATTTTCATGCATCTACCGACCGAGCAGCAGACGAGCTGGCAGACAGCCGAGCTGCGCGCTGCCAGACTCCAGGGCGCCCAGCGCCGAGCACTGCCAGCGTTGGAGCTCAAGGCTAAGCGCAAGTGCTCCTGCGCACTGCCGCTCTCGCCATCGACACAGCGAGCAGGCCGAAGGATCGATCCATTAGTCGCTTGTCGAGGTCAGGGTTCCTCGGCGGACGGCACCCAGACAGAGCAAGATGGGACTTCTGGGGAGTAATCCGCGCAGTGAGCGCCTCTCCGAGCATGGGGTTTGAGCCATGTGCCTGCCGCGTGTGGCCTCCGCCCCAGGGAGAAGTCCAAGGGCGTTCGGGACCGCTCCGTGTGGGCCTGCCTCGCCCTGGCCCCCAGAGATCCAGCCTCGCCTCCTGGCGGTCGCCCCACTGTGGAGCCTGCAGGGCCGACAGATGCCTCTCCCTGGGTGCAGCCTGGCATGGAGGGGCCGCCTGCGCTGGTCGACCACCCTGCAGTCACAGCTGGTCAGCAGCGTTCTGTCTATCAGATGATGTCGCTCAAGGGCTGTGGCTTGTGGACTGCGCCGAGCCTGAAAACCAAACAGAGACCACTTAACTTCCTTGCCCATTGCGTTGCGGCCCTCGAAGGCCCCCACAAGGTCTTCCCTGAGCAATGTCAGTCCTGGCAGAGTCCGCACGGGTGTGCCACCCCAGCAGAACTCATCCCTGGGACCTAGGCAGCAATAAACTGCCCACCAATACTTACTCAAAGAAATTTATCCATATCTTGGTTCGCGCACCAAAGAGACGATAGATCAAGCTCGCGACTTCCACGGGGGTGGTCATTGAGTTGCTGGTCGGAGGCGCGTCAGGGCCGCGCCAGCGCGGCCGGACCGCGGCCAGCAGCCCTTGGCAGGGCTTGTCGGTATGGGCACGCCACTGGCTTCCGTCCCCCCCTGGGGCCCTCGGGAGTGCGGGCGTGCCCGCTGCCAGTCTATCGGAGGAGGAGGAGGAGGAGGAGGAGGAGGAGGAGGAGGAGGAGGAGGAGGAGGAGGAGGAGGAGGAGGGAGGAGGAGAGGGAGGAGGGGAGGAGGAGGAGGAGGGAGGCGGAGGAGGAGGAGGAGGAGGAGGAGGAGGAGGAGGAGGGGGAGGAGGAGGAGGAGGAGGAGGAGGAGGAGGAGGAATTTGATCAGCCACGCGCTGGGACGGACGGCCGCTGAGAGGCCTTCTCCGTCCTTGCGTCGCGGGCGTGGCAGCACTGCGCGCCGAGGACGGCGCGGGGCTCCGTGCTGAACGTTTGGCGGAGCCCTTTCCGTGTCTCTTGTGAGGACTGGGGCCCCGCGCGCGGGCCTCGCCACCCGTCAGAGCCAGAGTCAGAGACTCGCTCCTCCTCCCTGCCCCTCCTCGTCCCCCCTCCTCGCTCTCCATTTCTCGCTCTCTCCCTCCCCTTCGGTCCTCCCTCCTCCCTCCCCCCATCCCTCCCGCCCGTGGGGCTGACCAGGGGGGGATACGGCCAGCCCCGCGAAAAGCCACACACACACACACACACGCACACGCACACGCGCACGCACACGCACGCGCACCCGCACCCGCACACGCACACGCACACGCACACGCACACACACACACACACGCACACGCACACACACACACACACACACACACACACACACACACACACACACACACACACACACACACACACACACACACACACGCACACGGAATGGCCTCCCCCTCCCCTGTCCCTCAAGTGTGGCTTCCTGCAGCCTCCTGGGGCATCTGGGTCCGTCGTGAAGCTCCCTGCAGCATCGTGCGGCGTCCTGAGGCGTCAGGGGAAGGCCTCTTGCGGCATCCTGAAGCCTCCTGTAGCCGCCTGGGGCCTTCTGATGCATTGTGTGCCCAACAGGAAACTCGCCCGTAATTAGCTCCTCCTCCTCCTCCTCCTCCTCCTGTTCCTCCTTGTCCTCCTTTTCCTCCATTTCCTCAATTTCTTCCTCCTCCTCCTCCACTCCTTAGAAACAAGTGGCACGTGTGCCATGGCTCTTGCACAAAAAAGGAAGGAGGAGGAGGAGGTGGAGGGGGGGAAGAGGGGGCACGACATCGCAGAAGAGTGAACAAACAGGGCCGCAAGAAGGGGCTTTTGAGAGCGAGCTCGAGGAGACTCAAAGGGCCGTCCCCCTCAAGATGGCTTCAAAGACCTTTAACAGGCTCCCAGGAGGCGTCCAACAGACACCCAAGAAGCCTACAGAAGGTTCCAAGAGGAGGCCTCCGGGGTCCAAGGAGGGCCGGGAGAAATTATTGAGCTGACCCAGCTGCTGGAGGCTCATGGTGCAAAGTGCGCTGCGGCTTTGTGCGGGGAACGCTTGTCCAGGCCAGTCGTTTCGCGCACAGAGTCTGTCGGGTGTATTCTCGGGGGCCGGCTATGCCCCTCATTAATAGGGGCCTCTCCATTATCCTCCTCCTCCTCCTCCTCCTCCTCCTCCTCCTCCTCCGCCCTCCTCCTCCTCTCCTCTCCTCCTCCTCTCTCCTCCTCCTCCTCCCTCCTCCTCCTCCTCCTCCTCCTCCTCTCTCCTCCTCTTCCTCCCCTCTCCTCCTCTTCCTTTCTACGCCCTCATCCCTCCTCCTCATCCCCTCCTCCTTCGACGCTCTCATCCTCTCCCTCGTCCTCCTCCTCCTCCTCGTCCTCCTCCTCCTCCTCCTCCCTCCTCCCTCCGTCCCCTTCCCTCCTCCCTCTGCCCTAATCCCGCCTCCCTCCACTCTCCTCCGTCCTCCCTCCTCCTTCCTCCCTCCGCCATTCCTCCCTCCTCAGCCCTCCTCGCATCGCCGAATTGTCGGCGTCAACGAGAAGCGTGGTAGGGGGGGAGGGGACGGGCGCGGTACTGGTTCCGATCCGAAATCCCAACAACCCTCTGGGCACACGTGGTCTAGCGCGGTCATCGTTCCCCATCCCGAACGCCTCTTCCCTTCGGGGAGGTGTACCCTCCCCCTCCCTCCCTGAGTTTATGTTGGTTTGTGTGTGGATGGGGGGGGCGAGCGGGTAGAGCGTACAAGATGACCGAAGATGGGTCCGAGATGGCCTCCATGATGGCTAAACATAGCTCAGGACTGTTTAAATGGCTTCATCGTGCATCCATCCAACGAGCCCCCAAGAGGGCGGCAACACGGCTCCAAGTGTTCTCGGAACACCCTCGAGGCCCAGCAACGCGGCCCAAATCCCAGGTGGGGAGGGGGGGGGAGGTGGTGTGCGTCGCGACGCGGAAGAAAATGCTCGGGGCGGAGGGAGCACGGGGCGGGGGTCCCACTGGGGCGCTGGGGGCGCGGAGAAGAGGAGGGGAGGTGATGTGCGTCGCGACGCGGAATAAAGTGGTCGGGGCGGTAAAGCACGGGGCGGGGGTCCCACTGGGGCGCTGGGGCGCTGGGAACGCGGGGGGGAAGGGGGGAGGTGGTGTGCGTCGCGACGCGGAAAAAAAACATTCGTGGCGGAGGGGGCTGTGGGCGGGGTCCAACGGGGACGCGGGGGGGCTCGGGGTGACTTGGCTGGGCTCCTACCGGGGCGTTGGGGGCGGGGGGGGAGGGTGGGGGAGGTGGTGTGCGTCGCGACGCGGAACAAAAAGCGTTCGTGGCGGAGGGGGCACTGGGCGGGGCTCCCTCTGGGGCGCTGGGGACGCGGGGGGTCTCTGGGCAGAGAGCCACGGGGCGGGGATCCCACTCTGGTGCTGGGCACGCGGAGGGGGGGGTCGGGGGTCCCACTGGGGCGCTGGGGGCGCGGGGAGGAAGGTGGGGAAGGTGGTGTGCGTCCCGACGCGGAAAAAAAGCGTTCGTGGCGGAGGGGGCACTGGGGGCTCCCACTGGGGCGCTGGGGACGCGGGGGGGCTCGGGGCAGAGGGCCACGGGGCGGGGGTTCCACTGGGGCGGTGGGGGCACGGGGGGAGGGGTGGGGGAAGTGGTGTGCGTCGCGACGCGGCAAAAAGTTGTCGGGGCGGAGAAGGCACTGGGCGGGGGGCCGACTGGGGCGCTGGGGACGCGGGGGGAAGAAGGGTGGGGGAGGTGGTGCGCGTCGCGACGCGGAATAAAGTGGTCGTGGCTGAGGGGGCAGTGGGCGGGGCCCCCACTGGGGGAGGGGAGGTGGTGATGTGGTGCGTGAGGAGGGGGAGGTGGGTGTGCGTCGCGACGCGGAATTAAGTGGTCGGAGCTCAAGACACCCTGTGCAAGAGAATAATGCATCCCTGTCGCACCCCGAGGCCAGTTTTCAGGGCGGGCCAGGCGTTTCGCCTGAGACTTGTTCACCAGTTATGACCCTGAAGCTTTAAATTTGGCAACAGCTTCTCTGATGGAGGGCGGGTGGTTTTCAAAACGTGGTTCTCGCCTTAGCGACGCGCACATTCGTTTTCAAAAAGTGCAAGAGATCCACGGATTGAGGGCGACTGGTTTTCAAAATGTAGCTATCGCCCTAGCGCCGCGCACATTCGCTTTAACAAATTGCAGGAGTTTCACGGATTGGAGGCGGATCCTTTTCAAAATGTGGCTCTCACCTCAGCGCCGCGCACATTCGTTTTCAAAATTTGCAAGAGCTTCACGGACTGAGGGCGGTTCCTTTTCAAAATGTGGTAACTGCGTTTTGGGAAGATTCAAGATTATGCGGGCGCAACGGTTACGTTGATTCGCAGTGTTGAAGTCCCAGGAATGGCGTTCTGGAACGATTCAGGCTCGTCAAGATGCAACAGTCAGGTTGATCCGTGGCGTTGGAATCCCAAGAACAATGTTTTGGCATGCTTCGGAATCTTCAAACGGTTGTCTTCCGACGAGGCAGTTCCCTCTGAGGAGATGAACCGCTGTTGGAGCCTATGAAGAGGGAGCTTGGAGGGAGGGTTGATTCCATCATCGTTGATGACTCTTGGGTGCCCTGGTCCTCCTCCAGCTTTTCCTCGATTTCCTCCTTTTCCTCGTAATCCTCCTCCTCCTCCTCCTCCTCCTTCTCCTCCTCTTCCTCCTCCTCCTCCTCCTGAGGGTCCCGGCCTTCTTCGTGTGCTTCGCCATGGCGCCCACGAACTCTTCGTGCGACGCGCGCCCCGGTGCCCGGCCGCTGCTGCCCTCTTCCCTGCCTTGCCGTTCGGGCCGAGAGCGGCGGTAGAGGCGGGGGGGCGACAGGAAGCTGGACGTATGGTCGGCATTCACTGGCAAAGCACAAGGGGGATGGCCGCGAGTACAAAGGAGACGACGGGGAGGGAGGAGCTCCAAGGGGCAGGGAGAAGGGGGCGAAAGGGGGTGGGGCAGTGTGGGCCGAGGGTGAGGGAGGACTGGGAGGACGGGGGGGAGGGCGCACTAAGAGGAGGGAGGAGGGAGGGAAGGAGTCCCTCCCTCGAGGAAGGGAGGGGAAGGGAGAGGAAGATGGATGAGCAGGAGGGGGAGGAGGAAGAAGAGGAGGAGGAGGAGGAGGAAGAAGACGACAGCGTTGCCGGCGCAACCGACGAGCGCAGCGGAGCGGCAGCGAGCACTTGGCCGCGGCGGGCGCCCTCCCTCACAGGCGCCGCCACCACGCGCGCCCGTGCACTCGCTCAGGACTCCGAGGGGCCCGCAAACACGCCCACGGTCTCGTTGAAGTCCGTCGGCCACCCGGGGGGCAGGCAAGCGGCAGCGGCCACAATTCTTCGTCCTCCTCCCCCTCCTCATCTCCTCCTCCTCCCCTCCTCCTCCTCCTCCTCCTCCTCCTCCTCCTCCTCCTCCTCCTCCTCCTCCTCCCTCCTCCTGCTCCTCCTCCTTCCTCCTCCTGCTCCTCCTCCTCCTCCTCCTCTCCTCTCCTCCTCTCTTCTCCTCCCCTCCTCCTCCTCCTCCCTCCTCCTCATCATCATCATCTCATCATCATCATCATCATCATCATCATCATCATCATCATCATCATCATCATCATCATCATCATCCATCATCAGCATCAGCATCAGCATCAGCATCATCATCATCATCATCATCATCATCATCATCATCATCAACAGCAGCATCATCATCATCAGCAGCATCAGCATCAGCATCAGCATCAGCATCAGCATCAGCATCAACATCATCATCATCATCATCATCATCATCATCATCATCGTCCGTCCGTCCGTCCGTCCGTCCGTCCGTCCGTCCGTCCATCCATCCATCCATCCATCCATCCATCCATCCATCCATCCATCCATCACCACCACCACCATTATCATCAGAATCATCATCATCACCACCATCATCATTATATCCTCCTCCTCCTCCTCCTCCTCATCATCATCATCAGCATCATCATCAACAACAAGGCATCAACGCCTATGTGTGCCCTTCTCCCCAGGGGCACAGGAATCTCGTCACTCGATTCGCATGACCGGATTCCTGTGCCCCTTCCCCACCCACGACGGACAGGGGGGGTGGCCAGCAGCCAGCATCCAGCACTCATACAAACAACTAACCACAAAATCCGTGGGGACCCAAATAGGGGTCAACTCGGCCCTGCCTTCACCAAGCGATCGCGCGCTGGCGAAGCAACGCCGCTGGTTGCGTCCTCTAATGGGAACCTGTTACGGATGCATGGAGCCACCATTGCATCCTATTAGGGATGGATGGAACTCTAGGGGGTCATGTTAAGAATGAGCGGATGGAACTCTTATAGGATCCTGTTTGGGATGGATGGAACTCTTAGGGGATGCCGTTACGAGTGGATGGAGCCCGATTAGGATCCTGTGAGGGATGGATGGAGTTCGAAGAAGATCCCGTTAGGGATGAACGAAGCTCTAGTAGCATCCTGGTAGGGATGATTGGAGCTCTAACAGGATCATGTTAGGGAGAGGTGGAACTCTTTCAAGATCCTGTTAGGGATGGATTGAGCTCTCATAGGATCCTGCTAGGGATGGATGGAGCTGTAATATGATCCCGTTAGGGATGGATGGAGTTCTTAACGGATCCTGTTAGAAGTGGATGGAACTCTTTGAAGACCCAGTTAGGGATGGACGGAGCTCGAGGGGATCCCGTTAGGAGTAGATGGAAGTCTTTCAAGTTCGTGCTAGGGATGGATGGAGCTCTAGTATGATCTTGTTTGGGATGGATGGAGCTCTAGTGCGATCCTGTTAGGGAAGGATGGAGCTCTAATGCGTCTTATTGGGAATGGATGGAGCTCTACTAGGATCCTGTTAGGGATGGGTGGAGCTCGAATACGACCTTGCCAGGGACGAGTGGAGGCCGGATGGGATCCTGTTAAGGGTGGATCGAGCTCTAACAACAAATCCTGCTAGGGATTGATGGAGCTCCAATCGGATCCTGTTAGGGATGGATGGAGCTCTAATAGCATCGTGTGTTGGGCATGGATGGAGCTCTAATCGCATCTTGTGAGAGATGGATGGAACCATAGTACGATCCTGTTAGGGATGGATGGAGCTCTAATGGGTCCTATTGGGGATGGATGGAGCTCCACTGGGGTCACGTTAGGGAAGGATGGAGCTCTAATAAGATCCTGCCAGGGATGGATGGAGTTCTAACAGGATCCTGCTAGTGATGGGTGGAGCTCAAATAAGATCATGTTAGGGATGGAGCTCGAACAGGGTCCTCTCAGGGGTGGATGGAGCTATCATAAGATTATGTTGGGGATGGGTGGATCTCTATAAGATCCTGCTAGGGATGGATGGAGCTCTAATAAGATCCTGTTAGGGATGTATGGGGCTGTAATAGGATCCCGTTTGGAATGGATGGAGCTCTAATATATTCTTATTAGGGATGGACGGAGCTCTAACAGGATCCTGTTAGGGAAGGATGAAGCTCGTTTAAGATCCTGTTAGGGATGGGTGGAGCTCTCGTAGGATCCCGTTAGGGATGGATGGAACTCTACTAAGATCCTGTTAGGGATGGATGGAGCTCTTATTGGACCCTGCCGGGATGGACGGAGCATATATGGAATCAATGCGAGCCAATTAAAAATTAGCGGAACCAAGACGAATTAATGCGGATGGGAGACTCAATATGAATCCATAAAGATCAATAGAGACCAATAAGGACCAATCGGAAGCAATGCTAACTATTGAGAGTTAATTAGAACCAGTAGGAATCAATCAGAACCAATGAGCACCAACTAGAATCAATAGGAATAAATCAGAATCGAACATAATCAATTCGAAACAGTAAGAATCAATCAGACCCAATGGGAATCAACGAGAGCCAAGTAGGAAACAATTAAAGTCAACAGGGACCAATGAGAACCAATTAAAATCAATTGGGATCACATAACATCAATCGGAATCAGCTAGAATCAACAAGAATCAATGAGACCCAACAGGAATAAATGACACCAATAGGAATGAAGTCGAAACAGTACGAATCGGTTGGAATCAACGGGAACCAATTCAAGCGAACGATAAGCACTTAGAATCAATAGGAAGTAAGGTGGATCAATAGGGATCAATTAAAATCGATCAGGGTGCAGGGGAATCAATTCGAATTGATAAGAATCAAAAGGGATGAAGTGGATTAACTGGGAATGAATGAAAATCAAGGATCCATTAATCACTTAGAATCAATAAGAGTCAGTTGGAATAAATGGCGAACAATAAAAAACACATATAAGCACTGGGACACAATGGGAATCTAATAGGATCAGTGAGGGTCATGCAGAATCAAAAACAATCAGTAGCAATCAACTAGAATCGGTCGGACTCATTTATAGACACGAGGACAACGCAAAATAATAGGAATCAGCGAGAAGCAATAGGAAACACTTAGAAACCATACAAGTCAATTGAAGCCAACAGTAATAAATTCGAATACATACGGGCCAACGACAATGAATGGGAAACAATTAGAACTAATGGGAATCAATCACACCAGTAGGTATCAATAGAAATCAATAGGGCTTAATTGATATCAACAGGAATCAATTGGAATCAATCAGAATCAAATAGACGCAAGGAAAATCAATTAGAATCAACCGGAATCAATTATAATCAATGGCGATCACTTTGGATCAATAAAAACAAATCATTTAGAGCCAAAGGGGGATTAAGTATAATCAATCGGAATCAATGAGAGCCAAAAAGAATCAATCGGAATCAATTCGAATCAATAGGAATCGACTCGAATCAATGAGACCCCAAAAAATAAATAAAACAAATAGGAATGAATTTGAATCGGTAGGAACCACTTAGCATCAACGATAAACAATTCAAGCCAATGATAATCAATTAGAACCCATAGGAATCAATGGGTATTAATAGGGATCGGTTAAAATCGATAAGCGTCAATGGGAGTCAGTTCAAATCACTAGGAAACAAAAGGGATGAATTGTATTCAATAGGAATGGATGATAATCAATGAATACATTAGAACCCATAGAAATCAATTCTAACTAAAGGGGATACATGAGACCAGTGGCGATCCAAAAAGAAACAAAAAAAAATAGAATCAATGGGAACCTAGTAGATAGAGTCAATGGGGATCAATACAAATCAAATATCATCAATTGGAATCAACTAGAATCCATCGGAATCAGTTAGAGACATGAGGAATCAATGACAATCAATAGGAATCAATGATAACCAATAGGAAACAACTATAAGCAATGAGACTAAATAAAAGCCAATAGGAATCAATACGAACCAATTAGAATCAATCAATTAGAACCAATGGGAATCAATAGAAATCAATAGGGATCTATTGACGTCAACAGGAATCAATTAGAATCAATCGGAATCCATTAGAATCAATAGGAATCAGTTTAAATCAATACGAATCAATAGGAATCAATCGTAATCAATTGGAATCGATAGGAATCAGTTAGAATCAATAGGAATCAGTAGGAATCAATTCGAATCAGTTGGAAGCGATGGAATCAGTTGGAATCAATTTGAAGCGATAGGGATCGACTAGAAGCAACAGAAACCAAGTATAATCAACCGCAATCAATTAGGATCAATGGGAGCCACTGAGAATCAATAGGAATCAACAGGACCCACTTAGATTCAATTGGAGTCAATAGGAAACAATTAGAATCAGTAGAAACTACTGAGAATCAATAAGAACCAACAGGAATCAATTAGAATCATGAGAATCAATCGATGCCTCCGGTGGGGACCCCTCATGAGGCCACGAAACGTGTG